GGTGGGGAGGTCCGAAGCTGTGAGGGGGGAGTAGGCAGGAAGCCAAAACCATCACACCGTCCTTGATTGTTAGGCTCCCCCTACCTAGCCATGTCTAGGGTACTCCCCCTAGCTCCTACCTATTCGTGTCTAGGGGACTCTCCTAACTCCACATGCTTCTCCCCTCTCCCTCCAGCAATTTCCACAGGATTCTCCCCTCTTTTCTCTTCACAGCATTCCCATAGGCATTCTGACACTTCTCTCCCTCTAGCAATTCCACATGGCCTTCTCCTTCTCTCAATCCACAATTTCCACAGGTTTCCTCTCTCCCTCCAGCAAATTCCACAAGGCTTATCCACTTTCTCCCTCCAGCAATTCCTACAGGCTTCTCCTCCAGCAATTCACAGGCTTCTCCCCTCCTCTCTCTCTCCAGCAATTCCCACATGCTTCTCCCCCTCTCTCTCTCTCCAGCAATTCCCACATGCTTCTCCCTCCTGCAATTCCAACAGGCTTCTCCCCCTCTCCCTCCAGCAATTCCAACAGGCTTCTCCCCCTCTCCCTCGGCCGATATGATCGGTGCTTAGCGGCCCGCGTGCGATGTGACAGTGTTATATATTATCAGGAGTCTATCAATTATTGATAAACTCCTGATACTATATATTATTATCCTCGGTGACAAAGTCTGAGAGACAGACAGTAGATTCGCGAATCCGCCCCTGACACGTCGGCATTGCGATCACTACTAATATAATAACCGTGTAGAGAAAGAGAGAGGGGGGAGGGATGAAGAAAGGGAGAGAGAAGAGAGGGGGAGGGATGGAGAGAGGGAGAGAGAGAGGANACACGTTAAGACTTTGGTCGTAAAAAATAGATTTCGTATTTATTTAGCATTATATTTTATTGAAACGCTCCAAGTGCCTGTGCACTGGGCGGGCGCTGTGAATACCATGCCTTCGATACAAACGAATTGTTAAACGTATACGCGCCACCATACCTCTCTATATACGCGCCTCTATAGCACCTGGCGTGGCACAAAACGGCACTTCGCGAAATGAAAAAAAACACGTACTTTCTACACATATTTTCACAACCTCGTTACAATCGTACGGACACGCCATCGGTAACCAGTGTACCGTGATAGACATCGCACGCTATGACCAACGTCCCCCCCCCACCCCTCATTAAACACTGCCCATGGGTAGATGCATGACTATCGGGAGACGCATGGCGCATTGGGATTTGATCGTTATTGCTCATGCGCAACATATAGGGAAAAGGGGGAGAACGTTTCTCATTGCGGGGGAAGTCTACCATGCTACACAGGTTGCGGAGATGCCGTGGCTGTGGCCTCCTCTCTACGAGGGATATCTGAACCCCGAAGTTCCCCCTCCCAGCCCCCCCCCCTCCCAGTTCCCCCCCCCCACCACCCCACTCACACAGACCCACACGTCGCTGCTTGCAAAGTTCATTACGTAAGTTCATCGGGTCGTAAGATCGAGTGACGTCACTGCCGACGTCACGACAGCCGCCGACGTCTGATAAACCTGACAAGCCTCTACGAGCGAGATACGCTACCCGCCTCCCCCCACGGACGGCGGTCGTTAATTTTATGCCCTAATTGAGCACTAATTAGAGCGTGGTGGTGGTGGTGGTGATGGGTGAAATACCCGCGGCATCTCCGCGATGACCCCCGCCCTCAAAACCAAATAAAGCAAAAAACAAACCTTTACATATGTAAAAAATTACAACACCTCGAGCGTGCCTGCCCGCGCTAGAAGGCGCTCGAACGTGCACGCGCGCGTGCCACGACCGCCAGGTGGCAACGCGCGAGCGCGACACTGGGTCGTGGCTAAGGCAACAAACCGCCCTCTGGCGGCAGGAAGCAAACACTGCGTGCGCCGGGGGGGGGGGCGCCACTTACGACGCGCGATGCTGATACAGTAAGACCTGTGTCCTCTGCCGACGTACGCTGCCGACAGACCAGGCGCTGCCGACGTACGCTGCCGACAGACCAGGCGCTGCCG